AATTTATTTCAAAGTCAATTTCTTATGCAATTAAAATAATTTTCGATTTCTTTCATTATATATGTATTCTATTGTTTAAAGCATTTATAACATATTTTTTATAACTTTTATCTTTTAGAGAAACATTTTTATTGTTTGCTTCTACAAAACCCAGTGGGCAAAAAACTATGTTAATATTCCAAAAACGTTTTTAGAAGGTTTCATGTCAGCCAAAAAATGTTCTAGAACATTATTTGAACATCCATGTTCTTAAAATGTTTTATAACATTATTTGGCGAACATGAAACGTTTTAGAAACGTCCTTAAAGCGTTTTTAGAACGAACATGGCTTTTTGCTCACTGGAAAATGATAGTGAATACATTCAATATTACAGAAAATGACATAAATTAAAAATAAACATTCATGAAATTAAACGTTTTTCAAATATGTGCACTCTAAATCTGAATCAGTGAAAAATTCACTGAATTCAAATCAGTAACTCAGCTTTCTTTAATTCACCAGTGGAATTTCACTAGAAATCAGTAAAAAACAACGGATTCTCAGTGAAATTCCACTTGTGAATTAAAGAAAACTGAGCCACTGATTTGAATTCAGTGAAATTTTCACTAATTCAGATTTAGAGTGTGGTTAAAAGATTAACAAAACTGCTTCATTTAGGGCTTAATCTACTTAAAATTTTGTTTCCTTTAAAAAAATAGAAGAAATATTTTTTATATTTCTATTTTAAAAACTTCTATAAACATTTCATCATATCAAAATAATTTTTCGTATCGTGACAAGTTATTAAGCAATGTAGAATATATAAGTTTAAATTTTTTTAAAGATTCCTACCAAAGTTTAGAAAACTGTTAGTATATATATATATATATATATATATATATATACTAGGGGGCTATGCCCCCTGCGCGCTTCGCGCGCCAACCCCCATCCTCTCTTCCCCTCCTTTTCCCCACCACCACCCTAAATTTAAAGGTTATGTTCGTTTCAAGACTCTGAATATAGCCGCAAGTCCCCCTCTCCCTTCTCTTCTACCCCCCCTTCTCTTGACTTGCGGCTATATTCAGAGTCTTGGAACAGCGGCTTCGCGCGCCAACCCCCATCCCCCCTCCTCTCTTCCCCTCCTTTTCCCCTCCCCCCACCCTAAATTTAATGGTTAAGATCGTTTCAAGACTCTGAATATAGCCGCAAGTCCCCCCCCCTCTCCCTTCTCTTCTCCCCCCCTTCTCTTGACTTGCGGCTATATTCAGAGTCTTGGAACAGCGGCGGCGGCGTTGGCGGCGATATCTTTTTGTAATATAGGTAGATATATATATATATATATATATTAATTATAGTTACGGTTATGATGTGACGACGAAAGTTTGGTCCTGTTTTTTGACTAGATTGCTTAACGTGGTTTAACCCGAACCCATCCCGAATTAAGTATCAAGTGTCGAAATGAATTCTGCAAATTAAATTCCTATAGAAACAGATTCCACACTTGTCTATAATATATTTCATGTTGACACACTTTAAGAGGACTACAAAATAATGTAATTGATGATCTAAATTGCGAAAAAAATCAAAGTGTAGTAAGATAGAGAAATATGAATGGACTACTTGTTTATTTATTGTAAAAGGTTTTTTTGAGTAAAAGAGTTTTGGAGACCTTTATGCAACGTAGAATACTATTGTCCTTATCATCCACAAGTTATAAGCAGTCAGATTGTCTTTCAGATTCAATCAAAATTTTGTAAGGAGTCTTTTAAATTTTTAAATTTTTTTTTCTCAAAAGATTCAAAATATAATAAGTTAAATCTTTTAACATGTTTTTATGTATATCTAGGACAATAAAAACATTAAGCTACACTGAGAGACCTTTTGCACCGTAACAGACTTTCGACAGACGGCTGCGGAGCATTCTAGCAGTCAGCTATGAAACTACGTTTTTGGTCTGCAGCCGTACAATTTTTGGAGCGTAGCTGTCCAAAAAATTGACGGCCGAAAGGTTCATTTTCATTTTTGGGCAGTCACGATACAAAATTTAGAATGCAGCGCACCAAAACCTATAGTGGCGCTGCAGTCACGCACGTAGTCCTGATGCGGTGCAAAAGGTCTCTCAGTGTATTATCTTAAAAAATTATTTTCCTTCTATAGAGGACGCACTTTAAAATTGTATTGAAATTTGGCTGCCACCACTCGTGTATAGAAATTTATCGTGGCCGTCCTAGTGTTAGCCTATAGCTAGACAGTGTTTGTCGTGGAAATTTATTCTTAAATAACTGCAATGGTCCCTCAAAGTTCATGAGAAGTTTTTATACAGTTTTCCCTTTATTTCTTTAGATATGTAGCCTTTCTAGAATTTAGCTACACGGGAAAAAGAGAAACGTTGGATTAATACCGTTTTCCGATTGGTTCAACGTCAGTGGGCCCTGTCACGATTTCGGCATTGATTCAACAGACTTTTACTGTTGAACCTACTGTCCATCTATTGTTACAAGTAAGTTGATCCAACAGACACTGCATACAGCGCTCCTTGCCGTTGAACCAATCGGAAAACGGTATTAATCCAACGTTTTTCTTTTTCCCGTGTAGTTATTGTCTAGAATGCTTACTTGATAATTTTGCACAAGTTCGTACAGTAGGCTGTCTAGAATTTACCAAGATGCGGACTAGGATACCGTCATGAAAAATTAATATAAGTCCATCAAGCAGGTGTCACTGCATTCGCTACAGTAACTAGCTAGCAGACGATTCAGTCTTTGACAATCTTTGACGTGCATATATGCTTCTGGCTATTATTATATTATGCAATGAATTTCCATTGCAAGAACGCTTTATAATTGCAAAATTTTTTGTGTTGCTCAACCCTGACTCACGCGTCGTTTAACGCCATAACACACACAAAATAAACGCGTGATACAAACACCAAATTACGATTCACATTTTCATATAAAACATCTTAATGAACAATTTTAGTCAACTTACTTTGTCTTTGACATATTTTTTCTTTACTTAAGGGGGGAACACCAGTTGTAACTTTCGAAAAATCGAATTTTTTTTTGTGCATTTTCTTAAAGTATACATATTTAGAAATGTGTCTGTAAATTTCAAAGTTGATCCGGTGAAAAATAAATGAGATATACAGAACACTGCAGCGGCGCGTCCCGTGGCTTCATACAAGGTGGCCAGCCATACCTGACCCTAACGACACATGGCCTTTTCCTATGATTTAGAAACGGCAACCACTGCGGAAGAGTTATTATATGGTCCAGGAATCGATGACTCTTTGTAACTTGGAAACAAAATTTCTCCTGAACAAAAAAAAGTAAGTTGAAACTTTGAATGCGTTTTTCTCAAAATGACATTTTCCAAGTCGGTGACCACGATTACTCGAATACCATTAAACCGATTTATTTAAAATTTAGTGTGCTTCATTTACACATATAAGTCTAGTTCGTGATCGAAGGATTTTTTTTTTTATGCAAAACTTTTTTTTATATAGCTGAAAATCGACCGTATTTTTTTAACGAAAATCATACTTTTGACTTTGACAGGTCGCCAATTTGTCAAATTTTTTTTTTTTTTTAAATCCTTCGATCACGAACTAGATAATCTTATAATAAATGTAAATCAATTTCATTTTTGTATTTCAGACGAAGTATACTTGCAGAATGCTGGTCACCGCAATTCGCCTTTTTTCTTAAGGCGCCACTTCAATGGCTCATATCTCCAAAAGTTTTTGTTAAAAAAATTTTTTTTTTCTTTTAAATTACAGCTTTTTACATGTACTTTTAACTAATAAATAGTATTCTTTAAAAAGATTCATTGTTCTTTTGGAAAATATTCTTGTAAAAAGCATTATTTTTTGAGTTACAACTGGTGTTCCCCCCTTAATTGTTTTTTGTTGAGCGTATAGCACTGACTCGCAAAATACGTCTTTATTGTTCGCACACTTCATTGCAATACATGTGAAAGTTCACTGACATTGCTGACAAGTATACTTACACACAAATACAGATGGCGCTAGTGTAATAAAAAAATTGTAATGAATTTAACGTGAAAAAGTAACTTTAGTGTTTACAAACAAAAGCCTATAGCCATTTTAATTTATAAAATTAAATATTAGTTTTAAACTGTAAATTAAAGAGCCAACCCGTCATTGCAATATTACATAACATAATAATAATAATAAAAATCATAACAAAACTTAGTTATCAGAAGTAATAATTAACTTCCCAAAATAGATTCATTACGGCAGAAACTAATTTCATAATTGATTATTTTGTTTTTACACCTTTAAAGCGTCAATTTTACATATATATAGGGAATCACAGAATCGTCATAGGGAAGTTTTTTTCATTAAAACCTTGAAGATTAGAATTTAATTTTTGTTAAATTATAAAAAAATATTTTTAATAATATCAATAACTAAATTGTATGCTACGCGGAGAATTACCAATATACATAAATATTCAAAAATTAATTTGTACCCATATGTTTTAATTTTAACATAACCTTAGTTACTTTAAATTTTCATTGACTTTTAACTTTCACCAGAACGACGCGGTAAATGAGTAGAACATTTACCAGTTAATGTGCATGGAACTAAAAAATATATGTACTTTAAGGTAAGTTAAAATTGTGTCATTTTTATTTATGGAAGAAAAACGTGCGTACGAAAAAAGAATAGGCAGAACCTGAAAAGCAAAAAAGATGAATAACAATTATCTTCAATGTATTGTTAGGACGCGATGCAAATTGATATATTTTATACACACGTTGCAATAACATATCTCAGTGAATGAGCTGCAAATGACAATTTGGCACTATAACTATAGCATCGAAAACGAACGATAGGCTGAGATTTGAAACTTATCGACAAATCCTGATTTCTTAATCCTCTTTTACTTTTCTGTTAATTTTCTCCTTTTGTCTAATGTCTCAAATGATAATAAATCATCAACGACAAAAAAGAAAAATATGTAAATAAGAATTATATCTAGAGAGAATGACGTACCTGCTTTGAGAAGACGGCGATGTCCTCGTTAAAACTTTCAGACGAACACACGTCACCACCCGCGACTCCTGGTTCCCGAGGCGTGCACGTTGCCAACTCACATTTTTCGAAAATTAGGGCGAGCAATGGAAACAAAGGGTGCCTGTAACAAAAAATATTAGATAATAATTTTAAAATAATTTTCATTTCTAAATAGTCTAGCTTGCATATATGTATTCACATATACATATAACAATGTATATGTCAACCTGACAATTGCATAAAATAATTATTATATAAATGAATTACATATATGAAAATATAAATTTTATTTCTATAATTAAAACTAGAAGTAAAAGTTTTTTTGTAAATTATAATCTCAACTACCTAATAAAAGCTTCTGGTTGTTTCTGGATCTACTTTAAATGTATAAATTCCCACAAAATTGAACAACTTATCAGTATAATTATGTAATTATCTTCTTGTAAAGAACAACAAATTAAACATGGAGCACACAGTCGTCCGCTCAACGTAAACAAATTTTCAGTTTGATTAAAACAAAAAGTAATTTCTTTACATAAACTGTAATTTACAAGTAAAAGCATTTTATTTTAATAATATATTTATATGTATTATGATATTTTCTAATTTTGAACATAAAAATTTTTGAATAACGTCGGCAATGTCGATTTCAATTAACATTATAATTATGTAAATGTACCAAAACTTATTTTGTTTAATTCAATAAGTTATAAATTATAGTTTGATAGGGTCAGTTGGGCTAAATGAGGACAAGAGGTTTTGGAGCTTAATTTACAGTTTTAAAATTAAGTTCAACGTCAATATTTTAACCTCAGGTCACCTGCAAGAGGTTTTGAGTATTGCCAAGCTTTTATCTTGACAATTGGCAGCAAGATAAAAAAAGTTATCGCTCAATGCATAAAAACTTGAAAATCAAAGTCAAACTGTTTCAGTATTTTGTTTCGCATTTGAAAAAAAACAGAATTAAAAATCATACCAAATTTTTTTCTTATTCCTTATGACTCCTATAACAGAAATTCACTTGAATTTTTGATTTTTATCAATTTGGTTAATAATGACAAGCTGTCCCCATTTACCCTAAGTTTTCAAATTTTTGGGGTAAATAGAGACTTGGTATGATTTTTAATTCTGTTTTTTTTAAATGCGAGACAAAATACTGAAATAAAAAAAAATAAAAAAATTTCAATTTGTTCAACTATTATATATCTACTACAAATTTTTTTTCAAGTTATTTCATCCCTTAATACAGTAATATACTTAAGGAAACTTTTGTCCCCATTTACCCCGAATTTTATGAAATTTTCTAAATTTTGGGGTAAATGAGGACAGTCAGTTTCATGCGTTTAAAGCTTATCTAAATTTTTTTCTGCTGCATAAAATTAATCCTGAGAACGTAAATAACAACTTAAAAAAATAAACCCGCAAATATTACCTTTTAAAGGAAGAAACATACGTAATTTGTGAAAAATAGCGATTTTGTCCCCATTTACCCCAACTGACCCTATATTGATATCGCATTCATTTAAATTGAAACAATTAAGTAAAATAATAATAAAGAGGTGAAAATCTATTGTGGAGCGACATTCAGTCCAAACTTCAAAATTATATATATTCAATGTTTTCAAATTAGAAAGACACAGGGTTTGAAATTTCGGCTCTTTTTCTTTGAAACGCATTCTTCTTATGTTATTTTCCTAAATGAATGGTTTCGTTTTGTCGAAGCACAGTGTACTAAAATTGCAAGAATGAAACCGCAAGTCTTGCGTGACTTCTACTAATCGATGAAGTTTAGAAGAAACTGAAATTTGAAAAAAGCCGTCAGTAGCCGCTTTATTACAAGGCTTTTTGTCAAACACTATTAGTGTTACGAGGACGCAATTAGTTTAGACCAACGAGATACAAGAAACGAAATTCAGCGTGAAGCGTTTAAACAAAAATGCTGTTGAGTTTGGTGTTCCGGATTTGTCAATAGTGATAGAATGGGCTTCATTCGCAGTACGAACGAATTAACACACGGAAAGAAGTGGTTTAGTACATAGGGGGTACCGAGGTGAGTTGTGACATCGTCAATTTCTCAAAATTTATGGCCTTTAGAAAATTTTCAAAATTGTGGATATATTATTTTTTAATACACTACCGGAGGAAATTGTAAGTGCACGGAAAAAATTGATTGTCGTTTTCTATATATAATTAACTTATTACAATATCTATAATATTTTTCCTGTTATACCCTAGTAAAAAGTGAGGAATTGAAAATTTTCAATTCTCCTGAATTCCGTTTCTGTCCAATTCTTTTGTATTCATCTTGGGCAGTCGAAAATAATGCCAGTTGAATTCTTTTCAATTCCGTTTTAAAATTTTGTGCAGAAAAAAATTTAACTTTCCGAAGATTTGAACTTACGATTCTCAATGCCGGAGCTAAACAACTGTTCCGCATAGCTGTATCAACTGTATACTGTAGATATTTGATTTTAAACGTACTTGCTTCAGAGTATTATGGAATTCAAAAGAATTAAAAAGTAAGCGAAATATTAAAACCCATGTAAGTGAGTGCAGTGTTGCCGTATCATTCAAATAAGCGCGGAAAATTTGAAATTGAATTCTCACATGTATGACAAGTTGGCAACGCCGCCTCACTACTACATTTACAAACAAGTAAAATCAACTATACGCGGTTGGTCGCACGATAAGAGAATCCCTCACCAAATCGTGACATTTGTTGACTTTAAATCCAATAAAATAAAAATAACACTAAGTAAAAACGTGAAAACTGTTTTAATGTATAAAAGAAGAGTGCTGTGAAAGGTACTGAAATTATAGAATGATAATTTTATGTGATTTAAGAGAAATATATGAAAAAAGCAAATGGGTGAGGGATTCTCTCTCCGTTCGAGTGACGGAGGGTTAAAAAAAGGTATGAATAATGTTAAAAATAGTGCCCATGTTAATGCCTACTCGTTAACTTTCTGTTTCGGTCCTGGTGTTTCGGCAAATACGAACGACAGTAGATTTTTTGCCGTGCATTATTTGATTGATATCGAGTATTTTTTTAAATACTCGAAAACCCAGCAACATTTTTTTATTGTTTTTGGAATCCATGTAAAGCTTAGATTCCAAGGAATAATTAAGTGAACCGAAAATTTGTTATTAAAGTTCTATGGCATGATATTGTTTTTTTGTTTTAGTTTTGTGACTTTCAACTCATTGGTTGTTACTTAAGTACAATGTTCCGTAATGCGGCTTTAGAAGTGTTTGAAATTTTCCAAATTTTCGTGTAAAGTAATTTTTATAATGTCGAAATAACTTCACTCTCCTGTCAAATTAAGGTACTTGGTGTACTGTAAGTTTGTACCAAGCTCATTATTGTGGAAAATATATCACATTAATTGATTTTGACATTCGAAAGTATTTTCTCAAACTCTTTATTTTTTTCTTATATTTCTTTCAAAAATAATTATGAAAACTTAATTAATATTACGTTTTGACATTTAAAAAAAAGGAATTGAGTGCGCAATTAACCTAATTACATGAAAGCTGGAAATTTAATCTACTATAGTCGACTCTTTTTTATCTTAACCCTTTTCCCTTGCCTTTTCCGTAGGAGAAAGAGTAGTGCATTGTGTGCGCAAGGTAGCCGGTCGAGATTCGCAGCGTAGCGGACATAAAACGATTCGGAACGAATTTTGACAAATTGACGTAGCCAGCGGCACCAGCAATCGTCAGCAAGAAACTGTGTGAACTTCAGTCAAGGGGTATATGTTCAAATTTGCGCTATATGTATGATGGTAAATATTTTTTTAATTTCAAAATAATGACAATTTTTGCCTAATCGTGTGCATTGTTAATTCGGGTGAAGTTCCGAAAGCGTCTCACCTCCGATCTTAATGAAACTTGGTATGCTAACGTATTTTTGTGCCCTGATTACGAAAATGATAGTGAAAATTGGCGCAAATGTGATTATCATGGTAAAAACCATAAAAAAACACCACAAAATCATAGTTTTTTGCGATTATTTCGTAAAAAACGCTAAAATACGAAACATGTTTCAAATAAAAGTTGTAGGTCTCAAAAAATACACATTTTATGTTTTATGCATTTTTTACCAAAAGTCGTAATTTGCGAGATAATTTCCAAAAACCATAAAACATCATTTACTTTCATTGACATTCATTATTTGTATATGGTACACTTAATTTATATACATATACGGTCACCTTCAGTATTATAATATATCTTATTAGCGATAGTCATTTCTATATGTATGCTTGGCACTTTTGGTAAAAAATGCATAGAACATAAAATATGTGATTTTTTTTAGACCAACAACTTTTATTTGAAACATTTTTCGAAATTTTGCGTTTTTTACGAAATAATCGCAAAAAACCATGATTTTGTGGTGTTTTTTATGGTTTTTACCGTGATAATCACATTTGCGCCAATTTTCACTATTATTTTCGTAATCAGGGCACAAAAATACGTTAGTATACCAAGTTTCATTAAGATCGGAGGTGTGACGCTTTCGGAACTATATATCCTTAAAATGATTTCCTCGAAATTAAAAGATTATTCCTCTTTTTTCGTGTGCCTAGAAATTTGACGTGGCATTATTCGAAACGCAATAACTTATAGTGATTATAGCGTTCCTGTAGAATGTAATTGGAAGTACAACTGTTTAGATCTTGATTGCATGTTTAAAATGGTGAAATATATTTTATAGTACTTTGGTTATTCGGTTTTTGGTTTCATATCAAATTTGAATTGTACATTTTGTACAATTTAACCCAAAACTGTACTTCAATATCGTTGACGTCGAAGAAACAATATATGCCCATTTATCTGCCTATAAAGTATCCGAAGGAATAGCCAGCAAGTTCGCGCATGGAAGATGGTTATTTCCTCTCTTGGACCATCCCCTCTTTTTTGAATTACTGTTGTGGAGATACATATTATTCTATTTGTATTAACTGTCCTCAGTTTCCCCAACTGAATTTTACACGCATGTACAAGTTATTTTTAACTAATAATAATTGTATTTCTGCCATGAAAACAATGAAGAAGAAGAAGAAGAAGAAGAAAGTCAAGTACTTTTACTAAGGCGTGAATGGAATATTTTGTCGCTTTTATCAATAAAAATCAATCAATCAACTCAACATAAAATTATAGTCTCCTTCTTTTTATTGCTTCCTCATAGAGAAAGCATTGTAATACCGAAATTTTTCGAACTCGATATTTTCTATATTTTTATAAATATCTCGGATACTATATAAGAGCTAAAGAGATAAATTTTTTTTAAATTGTAGGTCTCACTGGCGGACAAATAATGAGAATACTTTGAGCCATATTAATAAAGATTAACTATTATTTTTTTGAATTTTAAAATTTTTGAAAAATCGTTTTTTGTCCATAAGTTTAAAAAACGTTAGGACACACGGAGAGAAATAGATGGTAAGAACTTATGATCTTAAGATGGTAAAAAGTAGATGTTATCCGGTACTATCATTATGCTACTCGGTACTATCAAAGATGTTACAAAAAGTATGGTTATGTTACCCACTACAATCAAGATGTTACTCCGTATAATCTGGATAGTAACTGATAGAATCTAGATTGCTGTCCGTATATGTAAGATGAAATATGGTACCTGGTACTATCTAGATAGTACCCCGTACCATCTATTTCTCTCCGTGTGCAACTATAAATATTTTTCTTTAATTTTGTAGAATTTTTAAGACGTATCTTTTGAGCTATTAGCGAACATTCTACTGATATTCTATCTAAAGTTATTGAATTTTTAGAAATTAGAAAAAACGTTTTTTGCAAATAAATTATTTTCGTTACAAAGTATATAGGTATATGTAAATTGATATAGTTTCTAGAAATATCTCGTTTCTTTTAAAGTTTCATCAGGAGTATGATGTTACTTTGTATTGTTTATGGTGCGACATTAAAACGAGCAAATATAAGTTGGAAGATGAAGGGGCAGGCTTTGACAAAAGTGCATGTAGAGGTGACAAATGACTGATGAAGGACTTAGGTGTTGGGTTGACGTGAACCGCAAAGGTAATGATATGATATACGATGGCCTGTTGAACATTGTTCTTAGAACCTGTGGTTTTGTGGTTTCCGTTTCTTAGCCCCCTTTTCCTGACTCTTTTACCGTAAATTTTAAGAATAATACATTAAGACTCGTTAGGCTTTAAAAAATGAACTACTTTATAAAAATAGCTTTTGAATTTTACCAGGTAACTTTAACTCGAAAAAGAATATTCATAAATTAAATTAAAGCTCAGCTATTAGAGTAATTTTTCTGTATGATGAACTTTAAATTCATGTGAAAATTACAAATATAATCAACGAAGAGTGAAAAGTGTTGCATAACTATAAAATGTTCTATTTGAATATTTTTTGAGTAAAAGAATTATGTTTGTTGATGATTCATTAAATCTGTGTGTATGGATTAAGAATGATGAAAGGTGTTAAATAAAGAAAAGTGTGTGAAAATATTAAATAAAAAGCTGAGAAGAGTTATTTATAAAGTGATGTCTTTGAATGAGGTGAGTAATCCAATCTTGGCGCCTAAAAGATAGGTTAGTCGAAAGCAGTTACATCTAGTTGTGCGTCACACTGAGGTCGCTTATCAATAAATTATCGCTCGGTTTCAATTTAGGGTCTTGGAGAGACAAATTCTGTTGATAAAGAAAATCCGAGAAAGTGAAGGGGACGATTTTCACAACTACCTTTTGCATTTCTCTTCCTTTATTCAAACCGATAACATTATAACAAGATGTGTCCACTTGAATTATATATATTATGCGTCCCTGATAAAAGCTAAGAGCTTGTAAAATATACTTTGCATCAGTATTTTTCAAATTCTTATATCATACTAACATTATAGTACTGGCATGTTAATGCAATAAATAAATATTAACTCACAATAAGTCTAATTTAAGAAAGAGATTATTGTAGGTTAAGTTATCATCCAGACCATAATTAATAATGAAAAAAATATTTTTCAGGAATTTCTGGATTAAATCTTGATTTATTTTTATTAACAAATCAAACGTTTCGACACCAACGTTGGTGTCCTCTTCAGTGATTTGTTAATAAAAATTAATCAAGATTTAATACAGCAATCCCTGAAATATATTTTTTTCATTAATAAAGAGATTATTGATACTGAGATTTTTTCGATTTTCAAATTATTTTATTGTTCGTGCCAGATATGATTTTATATTAGTTGAAAATGTATAGCAGTCGCGTGTACGGAAAGAAACCTGATCATAAAGAATGCGAAGGAGCTTAAATTGTATCCAGGCGTTCCAGGAAAGTTAAAATCTCCGCCCGGGCACACGACGAGTGGACAAATTACAGGTTTGCTGCGAAAATAATCAGCTTCCGTTCTCAGGATACATCAGAAATTGGAACATCTTTTACCGCGATAAATCATGGCAAATTGTAAAAAAGTTAAGGAATGCGAACAGCGATTTCTAACTCAAAATCAAATATTTAATTATTGCTTAATTATTATGTTAATGAATATTTGAGTATTTATTACTTTTTGACAAAAAATGACTGAAGACGACAGTCCAGTTAGGTTGTGCTCTTTTGTTTGTTCGCATTTGCTTCGTTCGAACAAGGAAATTATTAATATAAAGTAATAATTATTTACAATGCAAGTGTGTAAAGTTGCAACAACACCTCTAAAGTTAAGTGATCGAATTAAACAAATATAATGTTTTGAAAAAAATGCAATCACCAACTTTATACACAAGTATTATATAAAATCACTAGAAATATTTTTAATAAATATTTAGTTTTCATGTGAAAACTTACCCATAAATAGCGTCTTTGTCTCGTTTGTGGACATCCGGAATCGCCGCCGATGATGCAACTGCCGCCAGTACATTGTGAGGTGGTTGGGGTGGGGGAGGTGGATACTGGGGGTGGGCTGGTCCTATTGCTCCCAGATGTGAACTGTGGTGAAGTCCTGGAACACCTCGGGCACTGGCATGTGGATCTGGGTGATAAAGGCCTGTCCCACCCCCACCGCCACCCCCTTCGAGATAGCCCCCGTGCAGGCCATCGTCATACTAAAAAAATTATTCCAATTTTATTTTTAACTCATTTCTCTTTTCTTTTGTTGTAATATACATATTCCAACTCGACAAAATTAACATTCTTAAACTATCGAAAATCTTTCGATGAAAACTATATCTGAAACGGTTTTGCTCTAAGAAATGGGTCATTTTAGCTTGAAACAGATAACAAAAAAGTAAAGAAGAATGATGACAGGTAGACCAAATCAACTGTCACTTTCAATTACTGGCTGACGGGATGTAAAGTCGCAATACCCAGTAATTTTGTTGTAAAAACACGCGTGCGATAAAACTATTGGTTATTGACATAATATACTCAATACCGGTTCTTTCTGCTGTCATTCTTTTCTATTTGCATAAAGCGCTTCCGAGCGGATGGAGAAATGAAAAATTGGATAATTGCGTGACGCTAATAATTATCGATAATTTTCCATATAGCGCCGTAAGTATACCAAGCCTCTATTTTACGAATCTTGCCGCACTTAGACATTTTTTTCTTATCAAAAACAAAAAAAGGTATTTTAAAATTCACAAATGCCGTCCCGAGTCGAAATTTAGGCCCTATAGCATAATCTCTTGGAATCTATTTTAATTCTTCTAAAGTCTACTTCTTCTAAACCTATAATTAACGCCTCCAAATAGGAAGATTTGTAATGATATTCTTAAATTCTTTAAATGTTTTTTTTGAAATAATATATTTGAATATATGTATATATTTTATGAGATTGATGCTTTTAAAGTTCTTTATTCAAATATGTAAATTAGAAAATACATTCGTAGAAGATCTTTTTTCTGCGGCCCTGAACTCATCACCTGATGCTGATGAATCCGTCTTGGTCGATAGTCGATATTCAATCTTGTGATCGATAGAAACTCATTTCTTTCTCTTGCCATTTATCTGGCAATTGTAAGATGCGATTTTTTTCAAAAAGGTATGATAATGAATCATCAAGTCATGCTATAAAGTTATCACCGTTGCAATCGAGATGAATATTTCAAGTATAGATAGTTGATAACTTTTTTCAAGAAAAAGAATAAAATCAAAAATTTCAATGAAAATATTTGTTTCCATCTTTTCACTAATCGATGAATTATTTATAATCTTTATATTTAATAATTTATGTTAAATGACAAATAATATAAATACAAACATTTTATTTATGTATTGTAGGTATAACTTAAACTTTTTTTTTACAAAAAATAGACTTTTTAAAGAAAGAATTCGGAAAATTTATGTGGATAATTGCGTTATTCATTAATTATTGTTGAGACTGGATGTACCTTAGAAATTTTAGTAAACTTTTTGTTTTTTGAATAACTTGAGAAACACTAGTTTCATAGTTTTTTTTTTCAAATTTTGATTTAAAATGTACTTAATTGTAAAATAACAAATACTGGTTACGTGTACACAGAAAAATTGTGATATTTGTCAAAAGAGAACAAACTGTCGATCAATGAAAAGTAGGTTAGAGGAAATAAACGTAAACATGTTTTAGATCATAACAGAGAGAATCTATCAGCTCGTTATACCAACTTTTATTATATCGAACGTATAGTTAGCTTTTTAGATTTGCAGAGTTTGTCCTACCGGGATTATTGTTTTTATACGATTTTCTTAATGTCATAAGATTTTAATGAACGTAAAGGGTTTTTCTCGACTTTTATGTAAAATGCATTTTACAGATTTTTTTATAGTCGGTTTTAAATTTTTAGACTAGAACATTGTGCTACATATATGGTCAAAGAATTATCTTATTAAAAAACAAATTTTTTAGATCAAATAATATATAGGCAAATTTGAAGGAAAATTAAAACTTATCATTGTAAAGTAATTGGTAAGTTTAAAATGATTTATAATAATCTAAGGGATTTCAAGATGTAAAAACTATGTACATAGTATACAAGAGAAAATAAATACAGATACAATACAAGTAATTGGTAAGTATACCAATAAAAAATTATTACCAGTTTAAATGAGCAGAAATTACTCTGAAAAGATTAATAAAAAAAAGTAAGATATCGAGTATGTGAGGTATTCGATTCTGATGTGAAAATCTGTTACAGGTCGCACTATATTTCAATCGCTCAGAGAGACGTCAGTTTTTTTCTTACATTTTCAATGACAAATGACCAACATAAATTATGCTAGTATATAATTTACGTACACCATACTTCTGTGTTTGGCAAAAATCATTTGACGACGTGTGATTTCTTACCGTTGCTATTAATCACCCTTACTTACGAGAAAACCTAACGATTATCAAATTAGTGAATTAATAAATTTTAAACTCGACAGAAAATAAAAAAATTGAGATTAAATTAACTATTAACATCAAGATAAACTGTGAAGCAGAATAAGTGAATGAATAAAATAAACTTATAATTCTTTGTATAGTATTTAAAAAAAAATTCAATCACTTAATGAATGTCGATAAGCAATTAATTACACCAAAAGAAACTTGTTCTAATCGTAAGACATATATATACTTTTTGATTGAAATAAATAAATAAATAGAGAAAAAAGTAAAAAGTTTGAGAGGTATGTATGAAAAAATAAGAATTGTGGGTGATTAATAATATATACGCAACATAGTACATGTTATTCATTTCTTTAATTATTATCGTAATAAAATGTTTTTTATGAGGTCAGAGTAATTAAAACTATCTTCGACGTGACTAACGAGAAATTCTGCGGGCGAAATTGAGTTCGACATTTTCAGATACGAAAACAAGAAAACATTGTTATTCTTCTAAAAAAGAAAATTTTTGACATCACAACTCTTAACTGCGTATTTATTTGATTTGAATAGAAAATAACTGGCCTCAATAAGAGCAAATTCGAATCGAAGAGTATTGACTTTTCAATTGCAACCGCACAATTTGCAACAAAATTATACCAACTTACAAATATCCTACCAAAAATTGCCAGAGTTCCCCGTGTGGAAATTACTCGTGGAAGTCTAGCTATAGCTAGCGCCACCACTGGATTCGTGACGGCAGTCTAACCTAGCGATTTCACATAATGCAAAAAATTTATTTGGTAATTTATGAGGTAATTTATGAAATTTTAAGGTAATTTGTAACTATAATACAAACAAAATTCACGATTCAAAAACTATTGCAAAAAATTTACGTGGTAATTTATGGAAATTTATGCGGTAATTTATGAAATTTTTGAGGTAATTTATAATTGTAATACAAACAAAATTTAAGATTTAAAAATTATTGCAGGAAATTTATGCGGTAATTTATAATATATAAAAGAAAAATTTTAAAATTAATTTTGGAAATTTATAAGGTAATTTATGGTAATTTATGAAATTTTTAAGGTAATTTATAATATATAAAAGAAAATTTTAAAAACTAATTTTGGAAATTTATAGGGTAATTTATGGTAATTTATGGAATTTTATGTGGTAATTAAAAAAAATTTAATGGAAATATTTTATTTTTAAAAAATTTTATTGTAATTTTTAAACATCACCATTCCCGCAATACTAGCTAGTGGCTAGAATACAGAATTGTGACAAATGGGCCTAGAGCCATTACAGTGTCACGGAAAGCTAGGATGGTGTCATCCTAGCGCCACGATATTTTTCTACACGGGTCACTACTGGCGCGATACTGGTACCAATATCGCGCTAATAGTTAATTTTCGATAGAGTATCTATCAATATAAAAATAATAATTATTTGATTAATGTGTATTGAAAAACTAGTTTCATCATGCTTGAAAAAATTAAACTCTTTTACCTTAATAAATTATTTATAAATTTGAAAAATAAAAAGTTCTTCCATTGAAAGAATCAGGTATATTTAAAAGACAAATTCCATTTATGAACCACGTTGATTTGCCCTCATGGTTCAAGTTTAAAAGAACATAATCCAAGTAGAAATATCAATAGATCTTATCAAATTTCAGCTCAAAAAATATATGTATCAACCTTTTTTCAGGGGAAAAAATCTTATCTATCTACGACTCACGACATCCAGGTAACATAAGTCCCACAGTAAACCGAACCCAAACGTAAATATTTTAAAAATTGTATAAAAAATAAAGCTGAAATAAAAATTTATTACTCATCTATTAAATTCAGTTAAAATAAATAATTTATAGGGATTTTATTGATTACATTGGGCATCCCGAATCAGACAGTTGATGTCAATTTCAATAAGGGACGAATTTGGTAATTTTTGACATGAGATTCATATTTTATTAGTATGAATCTCGATTATTAAATGTGATATCACACAAATTGTGAATGGACCCTACATTTGACTTCTATGTGATCAACCTGTAGCCAGCGAACAAATAACGTCACAAAATGAATAAACAAGCTATAAGTATACAGGCTCATAGACAATCTTGACATATATATATATATATATATATATATATATATATATATAAGCCTCATATCAGCACCTTTGATAATGTAATTTCATGTAAATTCTACTATCACTAGATATCGGACAGCGTCTTCTTAAACCTAATCGAAAACCTCTAACCTATAGGTTATAATATGATAGATATATCACCAACTTCTTTGATATTCTATAATAAGGTACATTAGGGTTAAAGCCACGAGGATGTTAAGTAAACAAATTTTATTTTTACTATAAACATTGAAACACATTGTAAATGTAAAATATAATACATTCATTTTCGATCCACAAAAAAATTAATTATTTAAAGGCAATATTTTAAGTTATTACCATGGCAATTTCATAAATGGAGCTGCTGATTCCTTCACACTAAAAATAGGTAAACATTTCATGAAAACTTTGCTTCCCCATAAAGATTAAAATTTTTGCATTAAACTCTAAAAGTGCCTAAAAATTCATACATACTGTCAGACTTATAATTAAAAAAAAATTCAAGTCTGTAGCTCTTTTTGTTTTGGAGATATTGAAGCTAATGTAATGTAACTACATACACATACATACATACGAATATTTTTTAAAAACAACATCGAAATGAAAATTTTCACCATCACAATACCCAATTCTTCTGTGAGGAAGCAAAAAATAAAAATTTTATACGAAATGAGAATTTTGTTAAAAAGTTAAAAGAATATTCAAGTCTCAATTAGTTGACGTGATGCGACGGACGAGAATATAAAAATGAAGAAATAAGCAACAATACAAACATTGTTGTTTACGCTTTTTTTTACTTTGGACAACAGAATTTTAAGTTGCTTGGTAAAAAATAGATTCTTCTTTGAGCGCTCTGCTCTTAAGTAGAATTGAACTCGAAAGTGCCAATTTTCGCAAAATCTCATACATATATTCATTTTTCAGAAAGTGAAATTAAATTTAAATATAATTTTTTTAGCCATGCAGATGCATTTTAAAAAAGCAGTACATAATCAATGTACTTGCATTTTGTAACTATAATTTCACTGACATATTAGTGATGAGAATGTAAAAGACTGTTATACAATATGCTACAAAAAAATACGCTTGATATTTAGATTTTAAAAATATTTCCTGGCTGTAAATTGATTTCAAAAATAAATAAATAAATAAATAACCAATTATTTTTTATAGAACATTAGAGCAAAATAAACTTAATCAATTTTATTTTAAAAAACCTGCATTCATCAAAAACAACTTCGAGAAAGATGAATAGTTTAAAAGGAGTAAATTTATTGTGCGTAAGAACTTGAACATTGAAACAAGCTATAATGACCTATATAATTCTTGTGACAGCAATCAAGGATCACATTTTTAAGTTTTCAAACATCATAAGAAATTTCCTAAACATTTTCTAACGTTGATCGGTAACATTTCAAATATTCAACTGCAGAGGTCAAGAAAATATAAGTTGAAGATTAAAATGTTCATTTGTTAAAAATATTTTCACGTGAAATGTTGAGTAAATATTGAACATTGCAATCAATATTTATGAGCCAAAAGTTCTGAACGTTCAAATGAACAAAATAGTTTTTCAATCTATAAATTATTAAAATTTATAATTTCAAAGTAAAATGAAACAGTAAATTAAACAAATACTTAATTATTAACTTCTTTTTAGATATTTAAAACAATATTTTGTAATAAAAAAATTCGTACTTAAAAAAATTGCAAAAAAAAATTTCGTTCATTTGAACGTTCAAAACTTTTGGCTCATCAATATTTTTAAAAATTTTACTGTACTTATATGCTACAACTTTGAGTACGATATTTTCTCTCGCCCAGACATTTTAATGTTATCAGAATTTTTCACAAAACTCTATAGAATTTTATTAGACTTATTCTACAAATTTTTCTAGAATGATTTCATAGAATTTTACATGAATTCTATTAAATGTTCAAGAGAATTTGTACATAATTTTGACAGACAAAATAGTAAAAAACAAATGAATTCACATTTCTTGTTTTCAAATTTCACGTATATTTTTAACTGTCACATTCTATACAATTTCTATAAACTGTTCTCTAGAATCGAAAAATAAATTCTATTCAACTATTTTACAGAATCCGATCCGATTGATAATACGCAGGTGATTATTTCTAAAAATTTTAATAAAAAATTATTTTGTATGTACAAAACCTTTTTTTTATTAAAACATAATATAATAATCAAGCAATGCATTAAAAAGATTTTACAGTAAAGTAAAAATAATCCAAAATTTTTTACAATATTACAATTCCACAAGCCTACAAATATTTAAATTGTTTTTATTGGAACTGTATACATAATATATACATATTCGTAACTATGAGAAAGAAGAAACTGTAGCGTATTCATCAATATGAAATGTTCACTTGCCGTCGGAAACTTATGTGAAGCAGGGGTTCATTATACATTACAAAAATGTATTAATAACTTCGATTACAAAAAAATTTTATTTGGAGTTTTCAAGTTAAAAACATTATTATAATCGACTTATGACCGTTTAAAAAATAATCATTTTAAATTTAAACTTTAATGAAAAGTTAACTTTTTGAACATAATATAAATACAATTTTTAATTGCAAAGTATTATTAAATTGTACAATGAAAACTATTTTGTAGAATATGAAATAACAATCACTTTAAAAAATATATAAGGTAAAAAATTATTCTCAAAATATAGGTATATGTACAAGCGGATCTCTTTCATTATGCTAAATATTTTTAATTCATTAAATTTTACAGTATACCTACATAAAAATGTAAAAAAGAATTTTTTATAATTTAATAAAATTATAAAACACTGAGAAAGTTTTTTTTAGCAATTATAACAAAAGAAGCAAAATTCTGGATTTATTTTTCTAATAACTAATATCAACAAATTATCAAAGCAAATACTTTAATGTTATTTTAAGTTCTCAATAGTGTTTCAGTGACAACGTAATTATAGGATCGAAATTTGTCAATAATAGTGTTACTGAATACAAAGAAGTAAATTTCATTATTATTCTATTCGTATAGTTATGTTATCTTTAAAATTCAACTACTTACAAACAGAATACTAATTACTATTATTTACATTCTAAAAAATTAAAATAAAAAGGCAAAAATTCTAATATACACAATTCAACAATATAATAAATTTAATTATTAAAAAATGGATTACAATTCTATAGAATGTAAGAAAGTAATTATTATAAAGATTATGTTATTCATAATTATGAATAACATGAGTTGACGAGATGAAAATTGTTCCAAGTTTGTGAAAACGCAAAAAAGATGTTTAATAGATAAAAGAAAAGAAAAACGCATATTCTTCCGATTTCCCACGCTACGAAGGGACCAAGTTTCCCGAGCTATAAACTTTCTTCTCACACCGCACCCGTCGCCCAAGGAATTCGAATATATGTATATATATATATATTTTTTTATTTTTACACATATAATAATTAACGAACAAAAGTTGCAAAAAATAAATTGATAAACAGTAAAAAGCTGAATCTAATTTTAAAATAAACATTAAATACAAAATTTATTTTTCAATTAACAAGAATTATTTCGTTTTATATTATACAAATAAGTATTTCAAATTTATTTAAATAAAATAAATTATTAACTGCAGTTGTAACGATACAAACGGAGATAAGAAATTTAGTTTAAAGCTAAAATCATCAAGTTTTATGTCTTTGCAATTAGCCTTTTCTTTTAAGAAATCCTTTTTAATCCATTAATATCTTTAAAAGAAAATAAGAACTTAGTACAGTCAACCTAATCCAGAGTTTCTTTAAAACTGACGCCTACCTGAAGTACAAAAAACCTTTTCATTAAAACCACTTTGACAAGCTAATCTTAAGTGAAGCATATTTCACGAAGGACTGAGATTTCTTTTATTACACTCAAGTTCATAGCAATGATGTATTTGGGATAAAGACAGAAGTTTACACTAAAAAACATTAATTGAATTGTTTGTCATTTAATTTGAAAGAGAAAAAATAGAGCTAGCTAACTCATTGTTTTGACGGTATTTTCGATGCCTTGTAGTTCTGCATATCAATTTCATATTTGTATTTGTAGTAAGTGACATGTGGTATGTATCTGGATTAGAAATCTAATTCCCGTAAAACAATACTCATAAAAAGGGGTAAAAATACACACATAAGGATGAAGATATATAGTATTATTATTAGATTTGTTTGAAAAACCTGTCCGAGTTTTTTGAGAAATGTCGAATAGCGACCTCTACAACTTTCTGGCGGGAATAAGCTTTCAAGTGAATTTCATTACTCACCCTTGGCTGCGACATGAACGCCCTGGCCGCGCCGGGGAACTCTGCGTGCTGAGCCACCGTAGCGGCTATATTTTCCCAGAGTAACAATCAATTAGCCTCACACCCTAAGGGGTGTAATAAACTCGTCTCGCCCACCACTCCTTTTTCTCAACTTGTTTCCACTACTCACGTTGTTTGGCGTTTTTTCACGGGAAATCACTGCCAAGCGAAACTGTTACCGTCGGTTGGCGAAGGCAGGCCACGGACTGCCAACCTCTGCGCGACAAAACACCGAAACACTGTCGCGAACGTTCCTCGCCCTCGATTATACAGCCTCGAAGAGTACAAAAGAAGTTTAAACCCAAGACCTCGTGTTGTTTGTTCGTAACGTCAGCAAAGCTTGAGTCGCCAGGCAAATGTATCCTGCTTCCTCATTTTCGAGAGGAATTCCACCTTGATGATCCTGAAGGTTTTGCCGGCTTGTCAGTGGCGTCGCATCACTGGGCCTCGAGCACGTGGTCCCTCGTCCCACCGACACTTTTCACTCTTGACTATATCCGTATGTCCGATTGCTCTTGAATCCCGTCCCGGTCGTTTTGCGAAATTCCCTAACACGTCAATCACTCACGAACGATCACATCTACTTGTCATCCCCGACATGTGACATTTCACTGAAACCACCAACACAATGTCACAGAAATCACGATATCTTCTCCCAGAACAAGCGACCTAACACTGTCACTGCTAAAAAACCGACACCGGCAATTCTCAACACCAATCGCGCGAATCCTTCCTCGATCTTGACCAGGACACTTTTCGGAAATGTGTGCTTTACACCGATTTATCTTTTTCTGAGATCCACTCTATCTTTCTGGCATTCGAACAAACGAATTTTTCTTGGGAAATTGTCGTTTGAACTTCGCGCGTCCTGGTTGTATGAAGGGTGAGGCGGCGGACATAAACGTTTTCGAAAATTACACGAAGCGAGCGAGCGTTTAGATCCTGCGCCGTCCGCAGTCGTTCGCCAACTGTCAATCACCGGCGACTGGCGCTAGGGAGTGGGAGGTGTATTAGCACGCCCATAACGTGCGGCCAATGTGTCCAAGTCACGCCCATCTACAGTGGCGCTCGAGTGGAGCTTTATGGAACTCGAGCGCTCCGCCATTGCTATACCAATACACGCACAAAACTCTCACACAACGTAAGGTTGGAACAGAATAAATATATGCCATGGCGAAGCGGCGGTCACTGCGTTTCTCCCACCTTTAATGTAGAGGTTTCCCACCCTTAAACAAGCTATCCCCACTATTTTGGCGGTTCCCCTCTTATCACTAGGAAGAGGCTTTGCTTTTATATGTTTCGAGGAGAAGCTTTCCCGCTCGAGCCGAGAGCCACGCTCCTCTGATATTTCAAAGACAACTAGACGAGAGTTGCAAGAGTTGGAGGAACGATTTCGCGAAATAAAAGAAATTAAAATTGCTGCGTTTAGAATATCTTTGAATTTTTAAATAGCTTTTGTGACCATTGCAAAATTTAAGATTCAATAACAAAATTGATTTTTTAAAACCTACAGTGCAGTGGAGTAATTGAGTTATATTATATAGTGTCTTCGTGTTTCCAGAACGGTGGATTACATTTTTTATTACGTTCTTTTCAAAAATCTAGAAAATTAAATTAAAGTACATTTACAATATGCATACGACACAGGGTTTTGATAGATATGAATTAAAATGTCAATTAAAAACCCTTTACCTTAGTCATATCTTGAAGAAAAGCAATGGGCCTCATCCAGACCATTTTTAGTTCATTTATAATTTATTAAAAACTGTTTGTATGTTTATTGATGAAGTATAAATAAAATTTCAACTTAAATAAATTCTTAAGTTAAAATTGCACATGATGTTTTTTAAATGTGCCTTCTCTAATTAATTTTTCTGAAAATTTTAACTGTGTAAATTAAGACATAGACCATTTTGAAAATAAAAGGCAATATATTTTTAGTTATGTTCAACGTAAATCCGATTTTTCCTCTGTTTTCCTACAAAATGGCCAGTGTTCTATTCGGCATTTTCCAAAAGATTTAGCCGATATCAAAAAGTGGTCCACTTAAAGCACATACACATTGCGCAGGCAGCAGTTAGAGTAATAAGAGAGAGAGAGAGAGAGAGAGAGAGAGAGAGAGAAAAAATTTAAATTTGCATTTAATTCAATTTCTCTTTCTCTCTCTTTTACTTACTTACTTTAATGCCTACGAAGGCAGCTGAGGTGTGCAAGTGCTTTCAGGGAGAAGTATTTTGCGTTGCGTTATTTCACTAGACCATATGAATGCAAAAGTGACGAATGAATATCCGCATCTCTTTTACTATCATGGATATTATAAAACACAACACAAAATGATGCCTTGGAAATTCATCCTTACTGTATACGTCGTTCGGTCTTCTTATACTACTCTATAAATCTGAATCAGTGAAATTTACTGGTGAATAAGTGAAATTCACTGATGTAATCTGTGAATAAAAAGATTAACAGGATTTCCAGTAAGTTTCGCTGTTAAATCAATGTCTTTTAGCCTTAGTTTTTAGTTAATACATTAACGGTCAAAATTGCAGAACCACACATTGTAATTGAATTAAAAATATCGTAAAACACCAATTTATGAAAACTAAAATTTTTTCTGGTTATTTCTTAAAAGATGACAAAATTTTGAGAATAATAAGGACCTGTATAAAATGATGTTGATAATTCTTCTTTAAATATTTTAAAAAAAGCATTATTTTTAATGTTTTATAAAAATGTTGAATATAACTTCTAAAATAATAACTCAGATAGCACAACATTTTCTAAAAAGTTTGCAGCAAGTTTACAATACAAAGCTCGCAAGTTTGCATCAAATTGTGGCAACAGTATTGAATTTGAAATAGTATTTAGTGTCACATTTAGGACCGTAGTGACGGTCATTTTATTTTACTGCTGTATTTATGGTCACATTTGGGTCGTAATTACGACTTTAATTAGCCATTTTGGGTTTGCATAAAGGAAACTTTCGAATTTTCTGAGAGGGAATTTTCAGAGGTGGTCCACTGTACACTTTTTCTGTAGTAGGGGAGACCGGGGTTACTTGGCGCACTTTTTACTCTTTGTTGTGTAACTCATTCATTTTTGCTTTTTTAAAAAAGTTATTGTATAGAAAACTTGTAACATTTCAGCTTTAATTTTAAAAAAAGAAAGATGCAATATATTTAATACTTTTTTTTATACCACTTTATTTAAAGCTGTACAAAGCGCGCTAAGCAACCCCGGCCCGGGGTTACGTGGCGCAGGAATGAAATTAATTAAATTATGTGATTTAAAGTTTAAGCAATATAAGACTTAACAAAATAATTCTTGAACTGTAATTTTACAATAAAATTATTTTAAAAATTAGAAAATTTCATTTAAATTAAACGCATTTTCTATGAAATCGTAAAATTATCAAAAAAAATATATTTATATATTTTTTTTGATAATTACGCTGTGAATATTTAAAAACCCATTATTCGGTTAAATTTTTTGAAAAGGATTGTTATTGGTGCTTATTAATGTGTAAATTTCATATAATAAACTTCATTTAATCATTTTATTAATATTTAACGAAATTTTCAGATAACCGCGCCACCTAACCCCGAAAGTACTTTTGAAATATTTTTTTTTTTAAACTATTAATATAAATAAAAAATTTTTTTTGTTTCTTAATAAGAAATGTATAAAGCTCAAAACTTAATATTTGAGCTCTTCTAAAATTCATTTTTTAAAGAGATATCACAGAAAATCAAGAGGTTAAAAAATTACTTTGGAGTGCCAAAATCAGTTATTTTAATCTATACTCCACAATAATTAATGAAATTTTGTATTTACAGTTCATCAAGTACTTTAACTTGAATGAAGAGAAAAATTAATTTAACTTAAAACTTAAATAAACTCAAGTGCGCCAAGCAAACCCCTGCTCTCTAAATCTAAATTAGTAAAAAATAACTAATTATCAGTAAAATTTTACTAATTCGCAAAGCAAAAAGTGAGTCACTGATAATTAGTAAAAACTTACTTATTCAAATAGTTATTTTTGTGTAACAAATTCTATTAGTAATTTTTTAATGTGGCTTTCTGTTATACGGGAATTACTAATTGATTAGTCAAAACTACTAATTGGTTACTAATTCAAAAGTCAGTATACAATTTTACGGCCCCCTGGCGGATTTGATTTACCTAAATTCGACCCAGCTGGGGCGAATCTAAGTCGAATCTAAGTCGAATTTAGGTAATTATCAAAAAAAAGCTTTAAATTGATGAAAATTTATAAAAATTAGTATTGTGAGGTTAAATGAACATTTATAGAGTTAATTTTTATAAGAATTTTAATTATTAACGTGATAAATAATAAATAATCACTTGATATGTGCAAGTGGTAACTGTAGATTTTAACTCGTTGTCTGTTTTCATAATATTTTCAAGAAATTAGTGTAAAATGTGTGAAAAAATAATTTATATTTAATAGAAATTGCAAATTTTATTAAATTATTTTATTATTTATCGAGCACAGTTTAAAATAATTGCAATTTAATTTAAAAAAAATGTTTTCTTAAAAGTGATAAGAACTCTACTATACCGACAACAAGAGGATATTTTCAGGTAAGTAAAGTTATTGTAGCGTGTAGTTTTGTTGTGACTAAAAGATGTCGCTTTAGTTTCTATAGATTAGATATAAGATAGAACAGAGATGAATATTCATGAATATTTGATCATGAGATTCGATGTTCCTGTCTGATCACTATAGAAACTAAAGCGACATCTTTTAGTCACAACAAAACTACACGCTACAATAACTTAACTTACCTGAAAATATCCTCTTGCTGTCGGTATAGTAGAGTTCTTATCACTTTTTGAAAACTTTTTTTTTTAAATTAAATTGCAATTATTTTAAATTGTGCTCGATAAATAATAAAATAATTTAATAAAATTTGCAATTTCTATTAAATATAAATTATTTTTTCACACATTTTACACTAAGACCAGATTATTAAAAAATAAGCTTGTCTTTATTGATATGAGCTAGAATTTTGTACATAGGATAAAAATAAAAAAAAATGTCTGACTTATCATTTTTGACATTTTTTAAAAATATTTATATTTAAAAAAGTAGACGAAATGTTAAGAAATAATTGTCTACTTTTTTTAGCTCTAAATACATATTTTTAAAAAATGTCAAAAATGAAAAAAGTCAGCAATTTTTTTTATTTTCATCATATGTACAAAATTCTAATCAATAACAATAGAGACAAGCTTACTTTTTAATAATCTGGTAGAATTTTATTTTTCTGATGCCCTGAACATGAGATATCATGTCCACCAGTTTCAAGTAGGGATAATTTTCGTCGGCCATTATTCCATCGAAAAAAAGAAAATGAAATGGTTTTTAATACTTTAAAACCTCTTCTTTTATATGTGAAACATTTATTTCTGTCAAACAGAATTATACTATGTTTTTGTGTTTACTTAAATTTTGTAATAAATGTGTTTATATTAATTGTTTAATTTACTTATCCTATTTCTAATTAATAATTAATTAATAATTAATTAATAAGTTAATTTTATTTCGAATCGAAATATTAATTTTTAAAAAATTTTATTTCAACTTTAAAAACCATTTTGTAAAGGCCACAATATTTTACAAAAAATAAAATATTTAAAAATTAATTTTTCATTTATTAATACATTTTTAATTATAATAAATAATTTTTGAATAATAATTTTGATTTAAATGTGAAAAAAATAGAATTTTTGTGTTCACTTTCATTTCTTATTTTAATATATTGAAATTATTTTCTTAATTATTTTTAAAACGCTTTTTCTTGTCTTTAACAATACTAATATAATTGTTTATTAATAAATAAAAAATTTTAAAATTAATTTTTCACATGACCTTCAGTCATGTTTATACAGCATTATTTCGATACACTTTTAATTTTTATATTCACTTGCAATGTGAATATTCAGAATATTCAAATATCTCCGTGAAAAACATTTTCAAATGAGCCCGCCCTTTTAGGTCGATAAGTAGGATTACTTGTC